ATAATAATAGAAGGAATTGTGAACAAATATACTCTAAGAAATAGATGACATGGATGGATTCTTAGAAAAATACAAAAGGATAAAACTGGCAGAAATAGATGCAGAATCTGAATAAACTCTTTAAAAATTGGAAACTTCCACCCAAAAGTCCCTGCCTGGCTCCATCTGCAGAAGTAGTTCCCCCCTCAGGTCCATGGGACTCGCCAGCAGCATCCCGAAGGTGAGGAGGCAGCCAACACGAACCACCCCTCCCCGGGGCAGAAAGGGCAGAGCCGGGGATGGGGCAGCAGAGGGCAAGGCAACCCAGAGCTCAGCGCCACGGATGCTCCCACAAACTCATGGCCCACAAGGGCTGGGCTGACACGGGGATGCAGACTGCTGGTCAGAAAGAAAATCTTAATGTATCTTTTAGACGATAAACACATGTTGGAAAGAATGTAAAGTGTTCTTCCCTCCATTCACAACTTCTGTTTGAATCGCAGTATCTAGTCCACACATGAAGGACTCATTAAAAGAAAAATCAAACACACCAGAGTTTTAATTTAGGGTTAATGTTTAATCTAAAATGCTCTTCTCACTCCGTATCTGCAACATTCTGCTTTCAATATTAGCTGATTCCAAGCAGCATAAAATCCAGTGGCTTTCACAGCTCTTTTCCCAGTTTGGAAAGTTTTCAGTCCTTGTGGAAGTGGGTAAGCAGCAAGCATCCTGGTCTCTGTGGGTCCAAGCCGCTCCCCACCCCTCCCTGGGCAGCTAGAGGGAGGCCCAGACCCCGAATGATTTGTGTCCTTACTCCAGCTCTGCCCGTCCCCACCACTAGCTCACCAAAGATCGATGGTGTGACTTTGTTATTTTACACTTTTCAAATCAAACGTTACTGAAGAAGTTGGATATTTTTATTGTTGTTCCAGGAAGAATGAAACATTTAGTCCCAGTGACAAAAAAAAAATACTTTATTTGTTCAATTTCATTTTATAACCCTTTTCTTCCTGAGACCAATTAAAAGGTAACTAGTTAAGAAATATATTTTGAACTTTTTACTTTGTAGAATTATTTCAGTTAAGTGAAAATAAAAATTCCCTACACTATAGAAACCATGACTGGAGAATAAATTTAGCCAATGCAGAGCTCGGGAGGAAGGACCAACAGCACACAACAGTTGAAACCATAAGAGATGCTCACATCGAAGTAGGACAGAAACGCCAGAGTAAATAATGCGCCAGATCAGAAACAGTTCGTGTCATTCTTGAAATTTACAAATACTAGAGGGCACTCACTTCCTCAGGCTTATCTAGGGCATTGTGCAAGACTGATCTGGTATTTGTCATTAAGGGGGGACCCTAGGGCCGCCTAGAGGTCACTGAAAGGCACTCACAAGAACAGGAAACTAACCCATGGAGAACAACGGAGAACAAGGTGCAGCGGTAAGAATACTGGCAGAACAGGCCAAACCGGAAATGAGAAGGGCAGGAGGTTTTAAAGAAAGAAAAGGGCGAGAACTGCTTAAGCCTCTCTAATCAGTTTCAAGGTGTGGACCCCAGTGCTGCTCTCCCAGGACCCCTGCTGATCTGGACATCAGCCCCATTGCCAGCGCCAGGTCGGGGATAGAGTATAGACCTCTGGGAGCTGCCGGTCCCAGCCCTGTCATCTCAGCAGCAACGTGGACCCTCCATCCACCCTAGTGACCACGGAACAAGGGTCCAGTGCACCCCTCCTGCTCCACTGCCTCCACGGGAGCCTAAGCAAGCCAGGCGGGCAGTACCCGAAGGGCCAGCACCCCGTCCTCTGGGCCACTGGTGTACCCTCCAGCCGGGCCCTGGGAGCAGCAGGCAAGAGTGGGGCTGTTCCCATGGATGACATCACAGCCACTGTCACACTCTGCTTTCTCACAGGGGAGGGAGGAAGATGGGGGAGGGGCAAGAAATGGGGGGAAAGTGGGAGATGCGGGAGAGGTGCGAGCTGAGGGAGGGGTGAAAGCTGGGGTAGGGGGAGAACTGGGGAGGGGTGAAAGCTGGGGTAGGGGCAAGAACTGGGGAGGGGTGAGAGGAGGGGTGTGAGAGATGAGGGGATGAGGAAGGGATTAAGGCCTGTTGGGCATAGCTACCCACTCCACAAGAGGAACAGCATCCTTAGTGCTACAAACATGGAGTAATAAAAACATTTAGAAGATAAATTTCTGCAGATCTTTTGCAAAAGGAAAGAGGAACCAGAGGTGGGAAGGTGGGGAAGGGGACCTAGAGAAAAAGCAGTGCTGAGCACCAGCTCCCCACGAGAATGCTGCATGTGGTGCCAACAGGGCTGCTAAGGATAAAGATAGAAAACAGAGGACAAAGCAAATTTAAAAACTTCTACACCTGGCGTGGTGGCACACGCCTGTAATCCCAGCACTCAGGGGGATGAGGCAGGAAGATGGATACGAGCTCGAGGAAGAGCCTGGGCTGCACAGTGAGCTCCAGGTCAGCCTGAACTGCACAGTGAGACCTTGTCTCAACATACAAAAGAAAAAAAGGAATACTCTCCAAAAACTGCTGGAGGAATTTGGTTTTATGGATGAGTTCATGCAAGAGTTTAAGAAATGGGGGCTGGGGATTTAGCTCAGCGGCACAGTGCCTGCCTGGCAAGCGCAAGGTAGTGAGTTCAATTCCCGGTACCGGAAAAAAAAATAAAATAAAATAACTCAAAGAGTTTAAGAAATGGTTCACTCTATTCCCTATGAATGGTTCTGCAGTAATTTTTTAAAGAAGTTATTTTATAAAAGTTTTGTGTTGGTTCCACTGTGACCGCCAGTCCTGCCGTGGAGGGGACAGCACCGAGGGGCCCAGAGAGCTTCGCAGTGCACTGTGCCAGTCAGGACCCTGCCCCAAGGACAGCTGAGTGGCGGCGTCTAGGTCGTAAGCATTACTATCACACGCTGCATCCAGTACCACAGCGAGAAAAGTGTCTCCAGACAGACAAATGCTCCCCAAAGTTAAAAAACCTAAGAGAAAAGCCACTAACAAAATGTATGCATTGATGGATAAAACTTAAATGCCACAAGCCATGACATTTAAAAAGAGTATTAGACAAAAGTTTAAAGAAAATTGGAATAAATCACTAGCTCTCATCACAAAAACTAACCCCTTTACAATGAGGACTAAGATAAAATTTCTTCAATAATGTTTAATACTCTTCTGGAATCCCAAAATAATGCAACAACACATGAATAAAAGGGAAAGGGGGCCCTCTGCCTCCCTCAGATCAGTTACTGAAACTGCAGATTTCAAAATAACAGTCTTGTCTTCCACTGCCACCACAACTGACAGCCATGAAGATCATGCAAACATGAGGCTCAGCAGGACATGCGCTCTACACAAGCAAGAAAGGCACGGACTGTTTCAGCGCAGCCATGAGGTAGCGGTGCTCCTTCACGGAAAAGGACAGCTTTTATTTATAGAACCATAATTTCGAAATCCAAGTAGCCGTTCAATAGTTACAACAAGGGTGGATCTTGTTCTCAGGTACCGGACAGCCAGCTCTGCAGGAAGAGCGTAGGGCTCCCTGCGTGACACACCTGCTCTCCCCAGGGTCCTGAAAAGGAAGAAGTTTGTTGATAGCACTTCCTGGAACTCAACCTGACTCAATGTTCAGATATGTTCAGGCAGTCTCCTATCTACCCATATTCTTTCTCCTCCTCTTCCTCATTGACCCAAGGGCAAAGTACATTTGTCAGATGCCAAAGTGCCCTGTTGAAAGACATCTTGGCATCCCCTATAGCAGTGAGAAGACAATGTCCTTTCTCTTCTGCTTTATATTTGCTTTGCTTCCTGGAATGCACATGTGATCCCTGGAATTGTAGCAGCCATACTGAGCCACGAGACATGGTCAGTATCCCAAGCCATGTTCTAAACCTAGAGCCCCGACAACTGTACAGCCTGTATATTGCCCCCGGGGAACAACCCTGAAACTCCACTGCAAGAAGAAAAACAATCTGCAGTGTGTTCGAGTCACTATCACTACTGCTTCTGCTTCTTTGACACCATAATGAGGTGATCCAACTTCAGCATAAGCACCGAACAATAACATGTTAAAGTTTAGAAGACAAAGCCGCTGGTCCTGGTCCCGTACTTTAAATGCGTGGGGAACAGTGGTCACCCCTCAGAACAGCTGTGGGAGCATTAAAGTGCACCTGGTCACAGTTGACACCAGCCTCTTTGGTCAGCATCACTTCCAGTGAGGAAGAACAGACGGGGGTGGGGGCATCCCGTCACCCCAGTGGTGGGTGCCACCTGCCTGAGCCTGCCGGGTCCTCCTGTCCCAGAGCTTTTGGCAGAGAAGCAGCCCTAACTTAGGTCACCAGGCTGCTCTGCAGTGCCTGCCACTGTCCACCGAGGCCTGGAGGTGGCTCCCAGCCCGCTCACCATCTCCCCACCACCGGCCAGGTCTCCACACTGCCCAGCCCGTCCACCTGAGCCGCCAGTCAGACCGTCGCACCGTTCGGGCAGCTGCCGTGACACAGGACGGCAGCGGCCACTGCATTACCGACAAAGACCGAAGGTCAGCGCTCAGAGCTCAGGGCCTGAGAGGGACTCCCCACCCAGCAGCTATGGCAGTGAGCGGGCGATGGTGGCCATGGCCAACACTCCTCTGGGCCTCACCCTCACTCCCCTGCCTGGACCCAGCGCCTGCCCCTCTCTCTCCATGCCCCTCACTGTGCTTTAAGGCCACTCGGCCTCCTGACCTCATCTCCGCCCTCCAACGTGTGACCCTTACCTGAGCCCAGGCATCACAGCAGACAGAGCTTCCTCAGAAACACCCCCACTGCATCATGTGTTTGTCCACGAGACCCAACCCCACCGGCAAGCCTGCCCTCCTGGACCCCCGTAAGCACCCACCCACCTGGCCGCATCCCCAACACAGCCGAGGAGCCTGTGTGTCATCACACATGTCCCTGTAGCCCAGCACGGGGCCCAGTGCAGAGCCAGTGCCACTGTGGACACACAGGGAGACTCACGCAGCTCCGGTACACAGCTTTGAAAGACACTGCTTTATTTCATCTTGAAAGCACAGAAGCAGTGGTGTCACCAGCTCTCACTCCTGGGTTCGGTCACCTGGGCAGAGGCTGAGATGCCCACAGAGACATGGAGGACAACCCAGAAGAGGCCACACCCCGGACAGACCCACGTGCGTCCCGCCCGAGCAAGTCCTCGGCCGACCCCGTTCCAACAGAGGAGTGTGAGCGCCACAGCACTTTAACGCTCGAGCAGATCCACGGACCCTCTCCCGGCGCCCCCGGCTTCAACGCCACCTCTGAAGCCTTCTCGGGAGCTTGCTGCCGCTCCACTGTGCTTTCCTTGGATGTGAAAGAACACAGGCGCTCTTTCCGCCGGGTTGGGGCTCCTGGCGCCGAGCTGGGCTTTGCTGCTTATCTGACCTGCACTTTTCTTTTCTGAGCATTCTCCATCCACTGACGGCAGCTTGGCCTCATACTTCTCGCTGGGACAGAACCACAGGCCCCAGCTCAGGCGAGGGGTTTATTTTGGTTCACGGTGTGGGAGGGTGAGTCCCCGCTCAGCTGGCCCCAGGCAGGAAGCGGCGTGGAGGAAGAAAGCCGTGGTGGGAGAGTCTGCTCGAGCCAAGGCATCGGGAAAGCAGAGGGCAGCAAGGGTAGAGAAAGGGGCCATGCCACCGGCACTGCGTCCCCTGGCAGGCCCTTCCCTGGGCCTTCCGGGCTACAAACGCACACAGCAGCCCCCAGCACAGCCGCCCTTGCGAGCTGAGATTAACCAGCAGGATACTCAGCAAATGCTGAAAGCACCACAGGCGTTGTCAGTGTTGTCTGTAATAACGAATGTTCTACAGGGCACACTCAGCAGTGGGGTCAGTGCAATAAGCCGATAGCGTACACTCTGTGACGTCAGGACAGGGGTTCAGCCTCTTTTCAGGGCTGCTTGGTAGGAAAGCCGTGTCTCTAGAGAGCACTGGCAGTTTTCTTACGTCTAGAATCGCTCTGGGGACTTTTCCGCACTTGTGATTCTTGTTTTTCAGTCATTTGTGGTATGAGCCACTAAAAATGTTCTCAAAAGGCCAGTCGTACAAGCCCTGGTGGGGCAGCTACCTGATGCAACCAAGTTTCTCCTGTGAGTGTGGTGTGGGAGGTGCACTGTTTGCTCCTTTTGATCATTTTACTTTCCTGTTTCTGGAATCGTGTAAATCAAAGCCTCACCACTCTTGGCTGGTATTTCAGTCTCCCCTAACACCTCAAGCCTCGTGCTTTGCTGACAGAGTAAAGATGGGTGTGAGATGGGCGGACCGTTGGCTCTGTGGTGCTAGAGGTGCTTAGTCATTTGGGGACATAAACAAGCCCGTCCCCGCGGCTGTCGCAGAGCCCAAGGGGCTGAGGGGTGGGGGCGCCCTGCTCGACTGGACGTGACCCTCAGCCCTGCTGCTCCTCTGAGTTCTAACGGCCGCTTTGCAGGGCAGCTGTACTCAATTCCTCTCGTGAGGTTGGTCTGGTATTTCTTAAAATAGACATTTAAGGCTCAGTAGCTATTAGCCCATTCCTTTCTACAGAAAACTACCCTAAACTTTGATCAACTTTAATTAAGTAAAGGATTTAGCGGCTGTTTAAAATTGTTTTAAGAAGGGATATTTGGGTAAATGCTGAAGGGACATATCAGAGCCGGCTGGTGGGGCACGGTCTGAGGACTGGCAGGAGCTGGGTGGGTGTGGGACAGCAGCGGCCACGGGGACAGCGACTCACCCTCCTGTGAAGGAGGCTTTCACTCACCATCCTTTGCTGGTCTCCAGAGACCTGGGGGAAGTCGGACAAGCCCTGAAGAGCGTGTGCTGGAGACCCCTCCGCAGCAAACCGTCTGCACTGGGCACTGGCGTCGGCTTCCTCAGCCGATCCAGCACTCCTTTCTCACCCATCCGCTCAGAGGCTCCTGGGGCCGGGCAGCTTGCGGCTCTGGTTCTCCGGGTGCAGCCCTGACTCAGGGGCTGCGTGGAGCTCCGGCTGCATGCAGGAAGACAGACGTCCTCTGCACCACCGGCCGTGCTCTGGGCGCAGGCTGCTTGGTGAGGACACCTCACTGTGGGGAGACAGCCGTGGGCTGGGGTCTTGTCCAGGCTCCTGAGGTCTAAAGCCGAGATCTGAGCAGGACACCCCAGAGCAGCGGCAGGGCCATGGGTTATACAACAAAGAAGAGACAAGATCCACTCCACAGGGTGGGCAGCCAGGGAAAAGAGCTTGGGGCATCATGGGACCCCGTCCTGGGGTCCAACCTCAGGGTCTGGGTGGGAGTGGGGTCTGGTCTGAGCCGTGCCTGCTGCCACCACTGGACTCAGCCCTTGCAGCGGTGGAGCTGTGACCTTCCATGGCCTTGGAGGAACTGTCATGGTGTCCAAGGCCACAACAGCCAAATCTACAGTCAGTGACATGGCAGTGGGTGGGTGACTGGGGCTGCAGAAGTCCCCTGCGCGGGCCGAGCCTCGCCGTGTGTAAGCAAAGTCACCTGCCTACCTTCTGTTCTGCGTTCAGCCCTGGGCATCCCAGTCCTCGCTAACCTTTAGTCCGGAACGTGGCTCTGGTCCTAGAAAGCGGCTCAAGGTGACTGCCTTTGTCCCTGGCCATTTCCTTGGTTACCTAAGGCCTCAGCTGGAGCTGGAAGGCACTGGGAGGTGGGCGGACCTCCCTCTCTGCGGTCCTCACCTGCTCCCTCCTGCCGTGCCCCGCAGCCAGCTTCCTCCGGTGCCCAGGCCTCCCGGCCCAACGCCAGGCAGGAGTTTCCTTGCCCCAGTGGCAGCCACTGGTGGGACACAAAGCCAGGTTGTTTTCACTGGGGCCACAGGGGGGACCCAGGAGGGGGACGTCGAGCACTGACTGGCTGGACCTGTGCCCTGGAGTCCTGCGAGAAGGAAGATGGGGAGAAGAGAAAGAGAGAAAGAGAGAGGGGGGAGAGGAAGAGGAAGAGAGAGAAAAAGCAAAGAGAAAAGGGGGCAGTGCTAAAGTCCTCCTGCCCTCAGGAGCGTCTTTGTTACCATGGTGACCCCAGGTGACCCAGGGCCACTGCAGCCTGTAACTTCCCCCATCCAGCCTAGGCTCTGCTTCCTGTGGGCTGGCACGGCCTGGGGGCCTCAGAGCCTCCCTGTGTGAGGGAGACGAGTCAAGGGGACAGAGCCCCAGCAGCTGCATGGAGTGCCGAGGGCGGCTTGAGCTTCCACTCCTCCCCGGCTGATGCCCCTTCTTTGAGAAACAACCCAGGCTGCCCTGGGAGGCACTGGGGTACACAAAGCCCCAATGTGAGTCCTCTGCCTGAGCTTATTTCCTTCTTACCTGTGTTATCTACGGCCAAGTCAAGTCACCCCGAACCCCAGTGCCAGCGGCAGCCTCAGAGCCCCAGTCTGCGACCTTCCCAGTGTCCCACGCGGCACCCTGTGGCCCGTGCATCACAGCTGCACAGCACACACACCATGCCCTGGGACGGCCCGGTCTTGGTGACCTGAGCTCCTCACGGCCTGGTCTTGGTGACCTGAACTCCTCACCTCCATCCTGGCCCCACAGACACAGCCCAAGCAGCCCAGGAAGGGCCCGGTGCTGCCAGGCCGCGAACCCGGAGCTCTTGCGGTGTGTGAGTCCCAGAGACTTCTGCACTTCCGTCCTCCCACCCGCTCCTGGTGTCCTGCCTGGAGTCACTTCCACCCTGAGCCCTCGGCGGCCAGGCTGAGCTGCATCCCTCTCCCTCGGTGTGGCTTTCATCTCCAAAGTAGAACTCATGCTGAGAGGTGCCGTCCCCTCGGGGACACTGTCCCTCCTTCCTTCTGTCCTTTCACGGCCAGCTTCACTAGCTCAGCCACGAGAGTGCTGTCCCATCCCAAGTCCAAGGGGATGCTCCCTGCAGGTCACCCTCCAGGCGCCCAGTGACAGGGAAGACCAGAAAGCTGTGTCCACCTCCAGTCGGGCTGTTCTAGAACATTCCACTTCCCTCACACGGACGTAAGCTGAGCCTTATGTTCATGTTCCAGATGAGCCTCCTGGGTCTAACTTCTCACAGGAAATAGCTGACGTTTGGGGACTATTACCTTTTCCGTGATAAATGACACCAATTATGGCAGCCTCTCTGCAAAGGAAACAGCCTCCTATGATCTTTCCTACCTATCCAGGCCCCTAAATTCTATGCCTGTCCTGTCTCTAAGGCTCTCAAGGCTAAATCTTAGCTTTCCATTTTAGGATCTTCCCATTTCAGTAATTTTCCAGCAAAAACTATGACTCCCCACTCCCCCAGTGACTACACTGCTTCACAGACGCACTCGACTGTGACGTTTAACGCCTAATTAAACAGCAGGTGAATATTAAAGAGGAGTGGGATTTCTGTGCCACAGCCTAACGAACTTAAAAGTTCACAGAGCTTTTTCTACTTCTTAAACCAACCTATTCCCATACTAAAAAAGGGCAAGGGAGGTACGGATAGCCTGGACAGAAAAATAAAAAGGTCAATTAAGACACATATAAAAAAAGTGCTGTGTGATGTAGATTATCTTATCTGGAAGAATCAGTTATTAAATCTTAACAGAATAATGCTAAGAACTCAGCAGAGCTCCTCTCTCTCTCACACACACACACAGAACCTGACTCATGGGGGTAAATCACGGTAGTCCGGCTCCCTGTCACACACCTTTCACATTTTCACGCAGCAATCGAAATGAGTTAATGTCCCAACCTGATGGATTCCTTGGTAGGTGAAAGGGTGTGGTGCGGATTGATCTACGCAATGTTTCCGTTAAAATAAACATATCATGTTTGTCCCATCTAAGTGGCAGGCTCATTTTTCTTGTTTTGTTATAATTATGGCTGTCTGCAGTAAGCTCGTCCGTCATATGACGGCTAGAAGTTTGTGTGCTGCACTGCTCAGAATGAAGGGGAAAGTTCACATTTACCTGGCAGCCGCAGCAACTGCAGCGTTAGGTGCCCCACTGTACTAAAACCTGAGAGCGACCCTGTGAAGCAGGCCCCCTCCCAGGTCTGTTCATTTACTGAATACTAACGGCACGTCTTCGAGGTGCTGGTTCATGGACCCATCAGTGAACCGGCAGTGTGAACGACGTATGTCACAGGAAGCAGTCCCAGCCCGTCAGATGTCAGTTGTCCAAGTTCACGTCTCCCCACACCAGAGGGTGACACGAGAACAGAGGAGGGTGAGAGCAGGACAGGTTATCGAGAGGATGCTTCTGAGAGACACAAGGGGTTTCTTCAGGAGGTGCCTGTGGGTGTTTTATACAGCAGGGTCATAGCTTGGGAGCTGTGGTCAGGCCACAGTCAACCTATGGGTGACACGGACAGTCGCTTAGCTACTGTTGCTCCAGGAGGGAAGCAGTACGTAGGGAGGGCACACGGTGAGCTTCCTGAACCTGAGCTGCAGGGCACAGGCATTCCCAAAGGGCTGGGAGTGTGGCAGGTGTGCAGGCACCCACCTGTGTGTCTGACGCCTCCCCAGCTGGCTGGACCTGATGGTGCTGACCACAGTACAACTGTGAGCCGCCATCCGTCTCCAGGGAGGCCTGCAGGCCCAGCTGTCGCCTCCATCCTGAGGCCTGGCTCGCTCACATTCACCCGCGGCCACAGCGCTGACGTCTCGGCCTCTGCCCTGCACCTCTCGGGCTCCCCCTCTCCAGCGCCTCTGAATTCTTGTCTCCCTCTGCTGTGTGAGGCACCACCACCACGCCACTGGTGGTCCAATGTGGGAGAGAGAAGGCAGGAGCTCCACATACTCCCCACAGATGGGACACCATTCCGGGAACCTCCATCACAGCCCCAGGACCTCGTTTGAAGGTAGAAAGCACCTCGTCCCAGCCCCAAATCACAGAGGCAGTGACCAGGGACCCGCGGCCTCTTTAAAGGAACCCTGTGACCTCCTTCCCACAGACATCTTGAGGAGACCCTGAGGAGACCCTGAGGGTGTTTCAGGTCCTGCCCAGTAGGTCAGGTTTCCCTGCCAGCGTCATGTGTAACACATGCATCCAGGGAGGGGGCTGCAGAGTGACTCCAGCACCTTCCCCGAGACACCAAAGTACACAGCTGAACCTGCAGCCTATGAAGAGCCAAGAAGACCAGGGAGAGCCCAAGGCCTGCCCTCAGGACAGAACAGAGGCCTGGGAGAGGACCTCGGCATCCTCCTCCCAGACTCCAGCAGCCTGCCAGGGGAGCTCTCCCTGCTGGGAGAAGAAGAGAATGCAGACCAGGGAGCCTTCAGGCCTGCCCAAGCCAGGCCAGGGCAGCACAGCAGGTTGTTAAAAGCACCAGGACTGCCAGGACCCTGATGGACACTCAGCTCCATGTGTGGACCCTAGGATCCTGAGTGCCGGGCCCTCAGCCCTGCCCAGGGCACAGGCAGCTTCATCCTGCACCACTGCCAGCCCAGGGTGGCCTGGGGGGCTGCCCTCCTCCTCCAGAGACATGAGGTGTGGTGCCACCCTACTTAGTGCCAGCCTTGGCATCAGGGCCTGGCGTCACCAACACGGTGCCAACTGGGTGCCACAGCGTGGCTTGAGACCCCACTCACTGGGGGTGGGACTGTGCCATAAGTCCAGATTTTGCCCTGGGACTCAGCACCAGGCTGCTGAACCTACCCTGGGCTGATCTAACTGTGCCCACCCCAGCCCCACCTGCAGCCAGGGCCTCTGGCACAGCTCCAGGGCCAGGAAGACACAGCCGAGCTGTGGGACACACAGTCTGTCCAGGAAGGGCTCTTGCTGTGCAGCACATTGACCCTGTGTTGAGACAACCCTCCCTTGGTCACCATCTAATGCTAAAACGGGGACCACAGACCTCTCACATGGGGCCTGGGCCATCCCAGGACTGAGACAGACAGCAGCTGTGCCCGAGGATCACAGGAGACAGGCAGCCTGCTTAGGACGCCAGGGAGGCGGGACAAGGAGTCTCAACCACCGGGAGGAGGAAACAAGCACCTAAGCGCTCCACACTCAGGCTATGATGCAAGCACCAGGCACACGGTGCCGACAGTGAAAACTGAAGCCAGACACCCAGCAGGGGCAGCCGGTGTGGGAAATTCAAAAATAAAGCACTAAAATGGCCATTTAAGGAAAGCCAGTGAGCTCGAAGAAATACAAAGACAGTTTTCAACTCTCCGGTAGATAAGTTTAACAACAGGCAACTTTTAAAACCAAATTATGGAGCTGCAATTTCAGCAAGTTGAAAAAGTGACAGCAGGCATCGGTGTAGCATGGACCAAGCTCTTCATGGAACGGGACAGGAGGGATACCCGCCAGACCCACCCCAGGAGTCCAGAGTCTCCCTGGTACCAAGCCTAACAAGGACATAACCACAAAAGAAAAGTTAGAGCCAAATCCTGACGAAAATGGTTACAGAAACCTTCAACACAATAGCAGCAAATCTAATGCAACAGCACACAAGAGTCATCATGACCAAGCTATTTCTCTCCAGGCATGCAAGGATGGTTCAGCATAAGCCTATCGATAAACCTGACCCATCACCTCAGCCAGATGGAGGGTGGGCTCATAGGATCATCTCAGTCTGCACCAAGAGCATTTGATAAAATTCAGCACCCTCGTGACAAGGGCCCTGAACATGGCACCACAGCTGCACGTGCACACCAGCTGCTCGTAAGTGTGCAGGTTTGCCTCTGTGTCCACTGTTCTGTCCCACCAGCCTGCTGCCTGCTTCCTGCTCTCCTTATCATGGCTGTGCACTGTCTGCGGTTTTCTTTCCTTAATAACACTTGCTATTCGAGGAACACCTAGCACATACCGGAAACTGTACTGTGCTTCCAGATACTTTCTATCGTCAGTTTTCGGGATGGACTCATGCGTAAAAGGCGTGATCTTCAGTCAGATCAGCTTGAGGTGTGCAGAGCTCATGGATCCTGCTGCTGGGACAGAATGCAGGTCTGTCTGAGCCTGAGGCTGTGCTACCAGCCCATGGCATTTACCCACCCAACAAACACCCGTCAGACTCCAGCCTCACATCCTCTCGGGTGCCAGCCAGCAGTACCTGGGGAATGGAATTGCTCTTGCAGGAGTTACACAGGAGCCAAAGCTACCACAGTTCTCCGGGCAAGACAAAATCCAACCAGCTCCTCAGGACTCCCGGACACCAGAGCCAGGAGCTCATGTGTGGGAACTGAATTTTTCACCTCTCTTTTGCCAGTTTGGAGACAACCATCCTCACCATGGGGGTCCAGGTCGGTCCTTAGCCACTCAGATACAAGGACAGCAGGGGCTGTGGGAACACAGAGAGCGGCCACCAAAGCACGCTTCTCCCGGTGGTTTCCCTCAGTGAGACTCACACCAAAGCACCCAGGACAGCTTTGCAGAACAGGCGTGGTGCTCGGAGCGGGCTCGGGGGAGGCCGGTGCTTACCAAGACAGCGAGAGAGGCCTGCAGATGTGGGTGCTGTCAGTGAGCTCCGGGGACCTCCTGTGCAAACCCAGTCACTGTCAACCACAGCCACGGAGACTCAGACCAAACACTGGACTGACCCAAGGCAGACAGGGCTGGATTCGCATCTGAACACTTTATCCAAGTGCTACTTTGCACCATCACCTGTGCATGAACGCTCAGGGTGACTCCAGAGGACAGGGCTGCAGATCTGAGACCTCAGGGAGGAGGATGTCGACCCACGGTCTTGGGTTAAACAAACCTTGAGAACGAAGACAAAGACCCATCCCCCGGCTGAGAGGCTCCTCCAGGAATGCAGCCTTCACCGTGCATGGCAGCTGGCCACCGCCAAGGGCTCCAGCACGTGTGAGAGCCTGGGAGGACGCACCATGGCCAGGGCTCAGATGCCTGCAAAGGGCATGGGGATCATAAACGGCTCCCATGAGAACAAAAAAGGGTTGAACGGTCCTCACGCCCTCGCTAAGCTCCTCATCCCGTCTGAGGTCACATCCAAAGGTTGGCGAGGGGAATAGATCCTCTGTTAGGCTGTGGATGGACCCCACACACCAAGCTGTGCACTCCCCCCAGGTCATGGGTGGCAACTTGGGTGCTCCAGCCAAGAACTTCCTCTCTCTCTCCTGGCCTCCCTCTCCAAACTAAGGGACAGGGACTGTAAAAAGGAGCTATGCAAGACTTCAGTCGCCTTAGGCATAGGATTAGAGGAGTTGTGGATCCCAAACTAAACTTACTTATTTTCAGTAAAATAGCAAAATCTTCTGGAGGTGCCTTATAGATACAGTCAGTGTTTTCACTTATGTATCTCAGAGTCTCTTAACTGGTAAATTACAGGGCTGGAATTCCAGTGTAAGTTGGCCGTTGTTGTAGGTGTGTTCTCCTTCCATTACCACAGGAATATATTTTGAAATACCAGGTCTACAGTCTGGTTCCCTGCATGGTAATTTTCGATAAGCCATTACTGTGACTTCTTCCAAATAGTTAAACTGGGATGTCAGAGTGTGAATACAAATTACTTTACCTACTTTATATTTTAAACAATTTTCTGAAGTCAATTTTATCAAAAGTCCTTCGCTATATTTCACAGCACAATAAAAGATACTAGGTTCAGAAGTTACAGCGATACGGCAATTTAAAGGTTTGAAGGCTTGATACAATGATGTCCAAATATGAATTAAGGACTCAGTATTAATATGATGCAGGGTTTCAGTCAGGGTTTGACTTGGGGTTTGGTTCAGTTTATTCTGTAACCTCTTTAAATTCTCATCCTCGCAGCCTTGTAGAGTCGAGAGCTGGGAGTTTTACAGCAGAGCCCTCTCTCTGCTGCTGATGCCCTGGCCTCCCGGCCTCCTTGGGCCCAAGGACGGTGCTCCATGAGGTGCAGGTGAGGGCAGTGCCCCACAGGGCATGTAAAGTGTAAGAGGCTGGAGATTTCAATGCTTAGCGTACTTAAGTGAGCACTACATCCTGCGATATCAAAGAAGACCAAGACTCTGGGAAAAACCAGAACTACTTCTCCTAGTCTTTGTTAATTGGGTCAACACAGAAATGAAAAAAGTACCCAGCTGAGAAATAAGAAGACTTACTGGCTCAGAATCTGTCTGCACGAAACTCTGAGGTCAGTTCAGACCAACACAGCTGCATTCCAACTGCAGAGAGAAACAAAGCTAGCAAATCTCAGGGCTGGAGCTCAGAGCAGGGTCAGAGCAAGCACCGAGGTGTCCCCGTGGAGCCCAGGAATCAGAGGGCGGATGCAGGGTCTCTGCCTCTTGCTCTGTGCCCCAATCCATCTGGGGCCCTGCGTGCTGCTGTGGAGACAGTGACAGGGACCCTGGGGTCTGCTCCGGGCCAGAGGACAGGTGCCCTGGAAATGCAGGACAGCCCCAACCACAGAGAGGAGGAGGATGCCAGAGAACCCCACTCGCCTGGACCCTCAGGGGGCGAGCTGCTTCCCAGAGCACGCCTTGAGCAGAGTTTGAATGGGTTCATGTTTCCTACACTCTAAAAGAGCTATTGTAAGTCTAATTTATAAATGTTTCTTTTGAGAAATTAATTTTTCACATTTGTTCTTTTACTTTTTTTCTCTCTTTTTGCAGTACCGGGAATCAAAGGGACGCTCTTCCAGGAGCTGCATCCCCAGCACTTTTCATATGTTTTCTTTTAAGACAAGGACTATGTTTCAGTCTTCCTGCCTCAGCCTCCCTTGGTGCTGGGATTACAGGCATGTGCCACTATACCCAGCTGCTTTAACATCTTTACTGCTGGTGGTGTTTAAATATAAAGATATACAATGGAATTGCTACTACAGTTAACCCAATCAAAACATCCCCCATATCTTTACTTTTTTAAAAGATAAGAATACCTAAAATTTACTCTTTTAGTAAAAATCCCATCTTGGTTACTTTTCTCTCACTGCAGGCACAAAATATCTGAAGCCTAGAATTAAGGAAGGAAAGGTTTATTTAGCTCACAGTTTGTGGAGGTTTCAGTCTATAACCAGCTAGCTTCAAGGCACAGCAGCACGGCACAGGGGCAACTGCTCAAGGCAGCAGAAGACAGCAAGAGCAGCAAGAGCAAAGGCGGGGAAAGCCAGCCTCTTTTCCTCCCTTACACTGCATGCCGGCTGCCCGACCCAGGGCGGGTGTAGCACTCACACCCATAATCCCAGCACTGGACCACGGATCAATCCTAAACTCTAGAACCCGCCCCACGACTGCATGAGGCTTTGGGGGGACATCAGACACAAACCATAACACCCCCAAAATAACAAAATAAATGCAGGAGACCAAAGGCTACTATCCCTGACACAGTGCACATGCCTGTGAGCCGAGGACTCCACCGCAAGGGGAATGGCGTGAGCACGGGATTCGCGGTGGATGGGTTCTTATGTGGTCTTGCAGGACAAGCTGCCAACTTCAAAGGACTCTCAGAGACCCACGGGGAGCCACGCAGGGACCCAGTGTGGGATGCAAATGAGACCACCGCAGCAGTGGGAGCACGGGGAGTCACACGCACAGGGGAAGACAGCCATGAGCCCAACTGAAACAGACACCCTTCAAAACGGAAGAGCAGTGAGGGCGGGCGGGAGGACGGACGGACAGGAAGAGCGAAGGGGAGGAGGAGGCGACCAGCTCTGCCCTCCACAAGAGTCCCGGTCCATCCGGTGGCAAAAGAGAAACAGCAAATGGTCAGTAGCAACTCCACAGCCGGCCAGGCACTGCCTGCCACAGGAGGACGGGCAGGAGGGCACAGGGCACAATTGCACCAGCTCTGGGCCAGGTAGACATCTGGGCAGAAGCAGCCTGCAGCTCGGGTGTTTTCCGGAAGCTCCACAGCTGGGAGGGCCCAGGACCCATCCCAGGGCAGCGGGGCCAGCGTCAGGCGCCCCAGGTCTCCTGCTCTAACTGAGCACAGCAGGTGGACACCTGTCTGCCGTTTGCTCCTGAGGATGCAGGCTCCAGCCTGAGGGCATCTGCAGACCCAGGGCCCAGTTCTAGGAAGACTGCAAATCATGAAAGGTGGAGAGCGCCCAAGGCAGGGTTTGGAGCTGAGATCCCCAAGGGCCTGGGTCCAAGCAAGGTCAGCTGGAAGCAAGAGGCACCACGGGCTCCGTGGGCAGCGCAGGGGCCCGTGGTAACCACGTGACGATGCTGACTTCCTGGGTTGAACACCTGCACTACGGTTATGGAAAGAGAGGGGGAACAGACCCTGGAATTTCGAGGGGCGTCCGCAATAAGCTGCTGATCGCAGCGTATGCACAGCATGCAGGGTCAGGGAGACCGTGCAGTGCACCCCGAAAGCCCAGGGTGTGAGGGGAGCTCGGTGGGCAGGCGAGCGTGCTGCTGTTCAACCTTCATGAAGCATTTCAAGTAAATTATTAAAAACTGTGAGGAGGACCTGTCTACACCGCGGAGCGGAGTGGGCTTATCCTGTACAGTCAGTGAACGCAGAACAGCACTTGTGGCACACGTAAGTCTAGCCTGACACTGTCATTCCACAAGTGTACATATATTGTGGAATGAGGCCAATAAGCACGCCAAGTATTCTGAGGAAATAAAATATGCAGTCTAAAGAGAGAGGAGATACAGTAAGTATATTCTAATGAGGTTAAAAACTTGCGCTCTTAAACTTGAATTGTAAATATCAGTATTAACGTGTAATTGCCTTCTTCCTTAAAAGATGTATTTTCTAGTTATGCTCCCTGAAATAGCTTAGCAGTGATAAAATCCCAGCAAGAATGAGCACCACAGTTGCCCAGAGTGTGGGTTATAAAATCCAACCCACTAGAGCCAGGGCTCGTGGAGAAGCTCTCACTCCAGTTCTCAGGCAGGAAATATACATAAGCCACCTGGTACCTGCTTTTGTGTAAGAAAGATTGATTAAAATATACTTGCTGGAGTCAAAGGACTTCCACCTGTGACCCCAGCACTCTGGAGACTGAGGCAGGAGATCCCAAGTCCGAGCCCGGCCTGGACAATTTAGTGACTGAGCAAGACCCTGTCTCAGACCTAAAAGGCAGTCAAAGCCCGGGTTCAGCCCCAGTACCAAGGAAAAGGTCACCTTAAAGACACATAGTGGCAAACCCGGAAAATTATCAGAAAGAATAATGGGTTACTGAGGCAGGAGGGTCACCCAGAGCTCAAGGCCAGCCTGGACAACCTAGCGAGACCCTGTCTCAAAACACCAAAAAAAGGGGAATGGAGGGAGGGAAGGACCGAGGAAGGGAGGGAGGGAGGGACAACTCATAACGTGCTCACCTTCTGTCTGTGTGAAAACCGACCTCTAGGAGAAGGGTTTCCCGGGCTCACGGTGCCAGAGGTTGGCCATGGCCAGCATCACGATGCCACAGGAGCCCCGGCGGAGCAAGGCTGGGGGCAGAGGGGAGAGGCGAAGCCCACAGACCCACCAGGCCACTCACCCTGACCTGGGGCCACCACTCACTCCACCCGGGGGCACAGCCTCACGGGGACCTCAGGGACACTTGTCCAAGCCACAGTGAACCGTGACTGTGACCGATCAAAACCATAGATATCTACATCAAAATCCATGAGGTCATAATGACAGTTTCTGGGTGAAAAAGAAAACTATCTGTCCCCTTTGGAACTTGCCAGAATGCCAAGAAAAATCAATGTAAAAGCTAATTAACTTAAAGCCAATCAGCTAATGCTGAAAAAGAACAAATTAAGTGTGGACGGTATCCTTCCATAGGAAAAGTATTTCAGATTACACAGATCCTCCTTCCACACCCCTGCCATGCGACCTGTGCATGTCTCCTCCAGCCATGAATGAAGATGCCCGCCTCAGCCGTGCCGGGAGGATTAAGCGAGACAGCAGGTCAAGCTTCCGGGGAGGGCAGATCTCCTCTGTGAGGCGACCTGGGTCCGGGAAGGACAATTACCCACAGGCTTGTGTCCTCCCCGCCTTCTCCGGTCTGCTGCTTCGAGGATTCAGGGGCTGCTGTGTATCACACACTCCTAGTGCACCATGCTCCTTGACCTCTTGAACTTTTAATGTAGAAGACAGTTGTTCAATCATTCAGAAATGTTCAGACCATGTGGATTTCAGGAGCCTAACTGGTTCTTTATCACTCGTGCCTCTTGCACTATTGAAAAAATATATAGGTAAAGACAGAAGCAGCCTTGGCAGAAAATTACCAAGGAAATAATACCAGAGCTAATGTAACAAGCGCAAAACGGCAGGAAGGGGAGATTGGCTATTACTCAGACGCACAGGCGGCCGCGCCTGGAGGGCACGCCTGCGACCCGCCAGCACACAGCTACGAGCTGCTCCAGTCACGCTAACTGCCCAGGACAAGCAGGGCCAGCGCCGAGTCTAATGGAGACAAATTGCATCTGAAACAGCAGCACCTAATTCGAGGTAAGCTGCCTGGGGGACCGCAGAAATTCACTCGCACCCCAGAACGTACCAGACAGTAATTCATCATGTGCCCGAGACGAGGTGAGAATCGACGTGAGCTGTCTCATGCGCGTCTCCTGCAGGTCGGTGGCAAGCCGGGTGCAGAAGTCCAGGACGCATGGAAAGGTCCCTGCTGTAAAAGCACGCAGCGGAGCACATCCAGCGGCCACAGCCGAAGAGGAGCCCGAGAGGGGGCATGGGCAAGGGCTCAGGGGCGGGTCGGCTGCCACGGCCCGTGAGAGACTAATTCTCATTCACTCGCATGTTTTGAAAATGTTACCAGCAAACAGTGCAAAGGAAGCAAAAGGAAGCGCAGGCGGTGAACGGGTGGACCGCAGAGCTGTGACAGGGGAAGAGTTTGTTCACGTAGTGAAATCCGTAGCCACAACGCTGCCAAAAGTCTTTTCAAACCTGCCCTTCCGCACCTCTCCATGCCGAGCCTAAGCAGGACCCGGTCCCACCCTGCCTCACCAGCTGCACCCCTGGAGGCCCCGCCTGGGTGAGGAAGGCCCGGCTGAGGGTCCTGACATCCTGCTCCTGCCTCAGGGCTCACTGCTGGGCTTTGTGCCACCTGGGGCTGCCGTATGTGGGGGGCAGACCTGTGCAAGGAGCCGGGGAGCCTGGCTTCCTCTCTCACCCCACTGCGTACCTGTTTTTCCTGTTTCATTAAAGAAAATATTGCACTGGAAACAATGCTATTTTGAAAATTACTTTCTTGGTTCCAGGGCCACTAAAGTTGAATTTCAAACAGAAGTGAGCTTGGAGACCAGACACCTTATGAAAGCAGCGCTGCTCCTGCCGTTGCCCACGAGGATCCCGAGGACGGACGCCCTGCCCTCCAGGTTCTGACCTGTCCGGTACACTCGGCCCTGCCCCCTCAGTGCTCCTGCCGGACCCAGGTTCAGGCAGTGCTGCGGCACTGACCTGCTGCGCAGGTGGAGAGGCCCTGGGAGCCAGCTGCAACTCAGATGCAAGGAACAGCTGTAGGTGCTGATTCTCTGACCTGTGAGACAGTAACAGCAGCACCTACGAGCTGGTCTGAGTTTTCCAAACCAGTGAATTTCCCCAGAGCTGAGACAGGGAGACGTGGAGGCTGTGGGGTTTTCCTTGCTATGAGACAACAGTCTCAGTGCACAAGCTTCAAGGGAGCACTTGGCGTGCGAGGTCTGCGGCATCTTCTCCCCGCCATCCCCGCCTTGCTTGATACAGGTGGTGATTTAACGGAAGGGACACAGGGGGAGACCCGAAACGCAAGAGGAGATAGCAGCGCTGTGGTGCTGTGCTGCTCTCTAGACTCCCGGGCTTCTGGTGGAAGGACGATCCAGGAAACCTCGGCCGCGGGAGTCTGTGGGATGAAGGAATGAATGACAGCATTTTCAAGACATTGTGCGAGCGTCATTATTTTTAAGTTTGAGTTCATTCAAGGTTTGCATTGGCCAAAATAATACCAGCCATCTCACAGCCATTTTATAATTACAATTTAATAGTATCATTAATATTTTTTATGGGCCAGGTGTTGAACGAGGTGTATTCTCTACCTGGTATCCAGCATGTCTGCGATCTTATAATCATTCTTTGTATACACCCTCATTTTCTGTCATTTTGGTGTCCCAGGAGGTTTTGCTTGCATTTGATAAAAGAAGTGCAATCTGGGAGACACCCAATTCCAGCCCAGAACCCAGATTGGACTTCTGGCTGTGTCTGCATCCCTGGCCGGTCAGAGCCATAGGCACATTTAGGAATTTTGAACTGGACACACCAGATCAGCAGCAAATATGCATATAATCTTGAAAGCTGTGGCAAGAGGAAGAGAAAGCTCAGGGAGATTTCCTTTTAGTTCTCTTTAAGACAAAAAGCGCATTGTACACGCTAACGCCATTATTATATGATAAAAATTTAACCAAAAGCTGCCAGTTTTCCATCTAGGAATGCAGAGAAGCAAAAATGCCAGGAGAAGGAGAGATTGATCAAGCTAGATGATTTCACATGGGCCAGACAAGGACTGGAAGAGCCACACTTGAGGATCTAGAGGGAAGTGGAATACAAGACGAGTGAACGGAGATGCCACTGGGTCAGAGCCAGCTCACCCTGTGGCCGTGGGACAAAGGGGAGGGTCTCCCACCATCTGTGTGCACAGAGGCCGAGACCCTGACAGGCAGGGTGGCAGAGGACCCGGTGGACCAGGCTCTGAGGGTGTCCCACAGGACAGAAAGGCAGGAACCGGGGAGAAGGACGGTGCTTCCTCGAGAGCGCCGTCAGTCTGTCGCCTCGGAAGCTGCTCTGGCTGTGCTGAGGGCGTTTTCCCTATCATGGTTGGTGTGGTGGTCGCATAACTACATATTTAGCAAAACTCTTCAAACTATGCACTAGAAATCGTAACATACACAGAATTGTAATGTCTGTAAGTTATACCCCAAGAAAGTTAAAAGTCAATTAAGCAAACTAAGCCAGACTCAGAAAATTTAATATTACATATTGCTCTTATCTGAGAAGCCTAAAATGCAAATAAACAACTGGATAAAATAGAGGTGACAGGAAACTAGAAGACAGACCCCCAAGGTGGGGCTCCGTGAGGGGCGGGCTGAAAATGATTGAAATAAAAAGATAAGAGAAAAGGCTGAGCGTGCAGCTCCAGGCAAAGGCCCTGGGCTCAACCCCCAGTCCTGCAGAACAGCAGAAAGTCAAGATCTGTTCTCAGCAGGTGTCAGTTTCCCCAAGCAAGCAACACTCATCTGTGTTACACTCCCGAACTAATTAAACTCAATTAAGAGTGAGAGTGGACAGGGTATTCAGAGAGAAAAAACTCCTGAAAGCAACAAAAGAGCAGCTGCCACACCCTGGCCACCAGGGCCTCCACATGGGCACTCGCGGCACGCAGGCCTTGTGGGCTCCACTTGCCCAAAGTGGATTGCAACACAACCCACAGACACAGGACCCCTCCGCCAGAGGGAGATTCTGTCCACTTTCTCACAAAGACAAATGACTCAAGGGTATAAAGTGTCCTACCTCGTACCAAAAGCACTGTGATTGGGGTTGGAAGGGTTCAAATGGGGAAAATGAGAACTTAATGGAACTCAAATAATTCAAAACATATGAATTCAAAGGAACAGAACATTTTGTATCAAAAGCAAAGTGACCCAGTAGACGCATAGGCAGGGAAAAATATGAGAAAAATACTGCTTTTCTGACCATGTAGAAGCGGTAGCTTCTTTTCTCCAAGAGATAAGAACTTCCCAGGGAGCTACGGTATCCAGAATGGACAATTTAGATGGCTTGGGAGAAATTTAAACAGTGAAGAGTAATAATCTAAGAAAACAAAACCAGTGAAGAACCCTGCAGGTTTCATGGAGCAAGATAAATACTCGAAGTCTGTGCCCACTAAGAGCTCACACATGCAGGCTGAGCATTGGGGAGGAGGGGAGGCGTTCTCACCACCCGGAATCCAGGAGAGGAGAGGGGAAGGTGGCAAACAAACATGGCACCTGGGAAGTGTCACGGTGACAGCAGGGACAGTGTCATGTGCCACCAGGCAGATGGCCAGTGGACCTTCCGTGACAATCACAGGATTCAGCAGAGGAGAAACAAGTGGAGGAAATGCCCAGGAGCCATTGATCTAGGCAGTTTCCTATCAAGGTCTCTCAGGTCACCTTTGCTGAGGAGCTGCTGGTGCATAACAAGCATCCCTGAGCATCCCCACCAAGGCAAGAGTCTGCAAGACTCCAGGAGCTTTGTCTCTGCATAGGAACAGCCATTGCACCCAGTGGGTGAGGTGCAGAGTGGACAGAAGCACGGTCGGTCCACATGTCCAGAGTGGCCCACACAGTGCAAGTGCTCTGGAAATGGTCAAAGGATGGAGACAGAGACGCGGGCAAGAGACTCAAGGGTGAAAGCCAAAGCCACCAACAGAGTGAAGAGAAAATGAACTGCAGCAAAGTCAGTGTTATTTATTATTATTGGCATTATCAGGATTGTTTCCCCTCCTGGTGGGAAAGGACTGAAGCAGAACAGAAGGGAGAAGCTGTCCACAGGGAACGCGCTGGCCGGCAGCAAGTGGGGCCCGGTGCTGACACCCTCGGGTGCTGGCTGCCCACGGCTCCGCCCCAGGTCCCCACGGTCCACCAGATATCACGTGTCTGCAACCCGGGAAGCCAGGAGCTGGGCCGCTCCCAGGGCTCCGCCTCTCCGGGGCACAGGCGGCGACCCCTGCAGCTCTGCTCCAGCCTCAGCACCACATTTTGAAAAAGCATAGAGTTTTTCTCACTGCAGAGGAAACAGTTTCAAATAAAAACACTCAAAAGCAAGACTGATGATGTGGCTAAAGATGAGGAGAAACAGCAAAGAACTGTGAAAAACAAAGCAAACCCTTCCAGGAGCGGAGCTTCCAAGACACAAGATGTAGATGCACATTCTAAGGTTCCCAGCAGCAGAGCCGTGGCACAGGCCGCTCTGGGCAGGCGCCATGCTCTCAGGACTGGGCTTGGACACTCCCAGCTCCAGCCAGAAGGCCTGGGGTCTGAAGGCACAGAGATGGCACCTCTAAGAGGACAGACTGGGGACACTGGCCCCACAGCTGCGAGACCCCAGAGACCGCGAGGACCGGCCCTGGGCAGGGGAGAAGCACCCAGCTCCTTTCAGTGCTGACGGAGAGGCTGACGTGGGAGTTCACCGGTGTCTGTGCTACCACAGCAGCTGAAAGCCCATAAATCAGTGAACCTCCAGAGTGTCTGCACGTCCAAAAGACCTGTGCAAAGTCTGCGACACCGTCCACATGCAAAGAGGAGGATAGGGTCAGGTGTCGGGGCACCGAGCCACAAGGCTGCTTGTCCTGTTCCATGGCGTGACGTGGACGCAGGCCGTGGACAGGGCAGGAATGAATGGAAGTTTGAACATTGGCACTTAAAGAATAAACTTACGTTATCCAGTGATCCTGCAGCAATAATAAAAAATACTGTGTTCCTTTACCAGCAGAAGAAAGGGATCACCACACCAGCAGTTTGTAATAGCACAACTGTGGAATAACACAGGTATGTATGTTACCAGGGAAGAAATCACGCGAGTAGGAGGTACTGCCAATGAAGAGGAAGATACATAGTTAGAGGAAGTGTCCACATTCCGGCCCCCAGAGGCTGGCAGAATCCGGCACTTGACGTTTCTGAACACACCAGGGTAGAATTATAAAAGTGTCTGAAGACGTTTAGATAAGCTAAGGTCAAATGTGCCACTTGGATTCCCTGACCAGAGGACTCTGCCCACCTAACGAGGGCCAGTGCCCCCTGGGGGTTGCAGCAGAGGACTTGGGGGGCCACAGGAAAGATGACCCTATGCCACTCACCTTCCTGCACTGGTTATTTTAAAATCTCAGCATGCATCAGCTTTCTCCTAAAATAGAAACCAAGGCTTGCAGGAGAAAGCGAGTCTGAGCCCTCTGCGTGGGCGGTGAGTGGCCCGTTTCCACCCAGAATAAGAAGCAACGCCTGCTGCTCTCTGTCAGTGGGCAGGTGCGTCGGCGGGTGTGAGCAGAGACGCCGAGGTGTTAATGAGCAGCTCCGAGGGCTGCGCCTCCCAGCGAGGGCTTGAATGGAGACGGGCAGGAGCCTGAGTGCGCCATGCTTTTGCTCAGAATATCCTTCCTCACCGTTAGCAGCGGGCGCTGCGCTCCGTTAGCAGCTCTGCCTGAGATGCCGACGTCTCCGAAGGAAAGCGCCGTGGGATGTAAGGCTCGTGAGACCCCTGCCTGTCCCCCAGCTCAGTGTCCCCCTCCACTAACACGCCTGGAGCAGGCGAGGCAGACTGACGTCGGAAGGGCAGGGCCGAGGCATGTCGGAAGACAGAGCCTGAGCGGTGAGGGTCGGCCGCGGGTCCGGCC